ATATATATATATATATATATTTGAGGTTGACTTTGACCAAAGTTTGAGATGAGCATGAGCTGATATTGGTTCCTCTTCTGGTGCAAGTGTTGTGAGAGCTGATAATAGAGAATTGGACACTTGGATTACAATTTCTCCATTTCTTAGCATTTAGAGAACCCAATTGGGCTACAATGGTGATCATCTAAACCCTCATTTTCTTAAGGCAAAAAAAATATTATTTAATTAATGTAATATAAAAATACAAATTTATTACATAATTAAGTTGTATAAAAGATGTATTATGAAAATAAATTAATTACAAATAATAATCAATTGATAGATGATATTTTTATTTTTCAACAAAAATAATCTACCCATAATTTTAAAAAAATAAATTTATAATAATTTATCCATAATTATAGAAAGTGTGACATATTATGGATATATTTCTTTTTCACTCAACATGAACCTTCATAAATGTTAAGGGAAAGTTATAAGTAAAGACTCTCTTAAACTCTCTCCATTTCTCTTCATTATCAATTGTTTTTATTCTCTTTTTATTATTTAAATTGTAACCCCTATTACATCATCGAAATCTCAAAATTAAGTTACGAACTTTCAATAACTTTTTGATTATTGTAAATTTCTTTGTAAAGTATTACCATTATTGATTATTTGTCTCTTGTAAAATGATATTTAATGATAGTTCATAGTTTCAAATGAATATATAACACACACACATATATATAATCATTTTTTTTATAAGTGTGTTTAATTATTTATTATTTACACTTTAAATTTGGAAATTTAAATGATAAGTAATATTTAAATAATTACAAGGAAATTATTTTTTGTTCACCTAAAGTACTTAAAAACTCAATACTAACCCTAGTAGTGGCAAACATTATGTTTACAACCTTCAATTCTTCGATGCCATCATCATCCTAGACTACCCTTAATTGTTGCAAGTATGATCAAACCAACTCATTGCATGAGTCTCATTCCAAAACTGAAAATGTCTAAAATCTTTGCGTAGCTTACAAATGTAAAATCAGACCATGTCATCTCTAAACAAGGTCATGCTCATCGTGTGGTGTAAGAATACATCACCTTTCTTTATGTCTAGCACCACAGTTCGGATTCTTTTGCATCATCTCTACTTCGGTTTGACTCTTCCCCTATAAATGTTACATCTAAGTCATAACCTAAACCAAGATGATGGGAAGAACTACCACCACCAAAAAAATTGCTCCTAGGGTCATAAACATTGTACCCTGCCAAGGTTCTCCACATCGATAAGGTAAATATGGTGGAGATGGGAGTGATTCATAGATTTCATGCTCAAGAATTCAAACCACAGCATTTGGTCTGTTACTATTGTCTCAGTATTTTTATCTTGCTTACAATTTATTTAGGTCATGAGAGATGGAAGGATAACTCAATCAGGAAAATACAATGACATTCTCCAGACAGGCACTGATTTTATGGAACTTGTAGGTGCACACAAAGCAGCTTTATCTTCAATTAAGTCCTTGGAGAGAAGACCAACATTTAAAAAATCAAGTACCACCAAAGAAGACACAAATTCATTAAGTGATTTTGAACTTGAGCATAATGTGGAAAACATATATGATCAAAATGATAAGTTAGATGACATGGTTGAGGTCAAAGGACAACTTGTTCAAGAAGAAGAACGGGAAAAGGGTAGAGTTGGGTTTAAAGTATACTGGAAATACATCATAACAGCCTATGGAGGAGCTCTTGTACCCTTCATATTACTTTCACAAACGCTCACTGTGGGGTTTCAGGTTGCAAGCAATTATTGGATGACTGTGGCAACTCCTGTTTCAGCAACTGCAGAACCTGACGTTGGAAGCTTTACACTTATGGTTGTCTATGTTGCTTTGGCAATTGGAAGCTCCATTTAAAAGTATGAGAAGGTGCTAGAAGCATGTTCCTTGACAAGAGACCTTGAGGTTCTACCATTTGGTGATCAGACCATTATTGGAGAAAAGGGAATCAATTTGAGTGGTGGACAGAAGCAAAGGGTACAAATAGCCCGTGCTCTATACCAAGATGCTGATATATATCTCTTTGATGATCCCTTCAGTGCTGTGGATGCTCATACAGGATCCCATCTCTTTAAGGTACTATTTTTCTAAGCTCTACACTGCAATTGATTTTTTTTTTCTTGATGAGGTAATTTGATACATCCGAATTATTCATACAAACTTTGATTCTATCAGGAGGGCTTGCTTGGCCTTTTGAAATCAAAAACTGTGATATACATTACTCATCAAGTAGAGTTCTTACCTGATGCTGATCTAATATTGGTGAGTGATTTATAGATTTCATGCTCAAGAATTCAAACAACAGCATATGGTCTATTACTATTGTCTCAGTATTTTTATCTTGCTTACAATTTGTTTAGGTCATGAGAGATGGAAGGATAACTCAATCAGGAAAATACAATGACATTCTCCAGACAGGCACTGATTTTATGGAACTTGTAGGTGCACACAAAGCAGCTTTATCTTCAATTAAGTCCTTGGAGAGAAGACCAACATTTAAAATATCAAGCACCACCAAAGAGGACACAAATTCATTAAGTGATTTTGAACTTGAGCATAATGTGGAAAACATATATGATCAAAATGATAAGTTAGATGACATGGTTGAGGTCAAAGGACAACTTGTTCAAGAAGAAGAACGGGAAAAGGGTAGAGTTGGGTTTAAAGTATACTGGAAATACATCATAACAGCCTATGGAGGAGCTCTTGTACCCTTCATATTACTTTCACAAACGCTCACTGTGGGGTTTCAGGTTGCAAGCAATTATTGGATGACTGTGGCAACTCCTGTTTCAGCAACTGCAGAACCTGACGTTGGAAGCTTTACACTTATGGTTGTCTATGTTGCTTTGGCAATTGGAAGCTCCATTTTCACCTTTGCCAGAGCATTTCTTTCTGTGGTAGGTGGGTATCCAAAAGTGGAACACCCGTTCTGGACCCTTCAAACCTACGAAAATTTTCCAACTGGAACGACTCGTTCTAAAACCGGAATGGCCCTTTCTCAAACCCAGCAGAACGGCCCGTTCTCCAAACCAGAACGGCCCGTTCTCCAATTGGAACGGCCCGTTCTCCCACTTCATTTTCTAAGCATTTTCTTATTTCTGAACGGCCCATTTCACTTTTGAAACGGCCCGTTCCGGGCAACGAATTGGGCCCTTGGCCCAGCGAAAAATTGGGCTGTTACAGGTTCTTCATGTTTCCAACACATGCATTAGGAGTAAATGATGTTAACATATCAAGAACATAGTCACTAGGCATTAAGGTCACATAGTTAGTAGTCGAGAGATGAAGGTGGGACAAAACCACCACTACCAATGTCATTTATAGATGCACCATGTCCATATAAGAATATACATTTTTTTTTTTGAACGACAAATGTTAATGGTTAGTTTGTTAGTTGTTAGTGGGGAGATTCGAACCCACACCCTCTTAGTCACTCAACCTTATATCCCTCTCCCCAAACCACTTGGACCACCCTTATCACTCCGAATATACATATTGTATGAAATCACCATATGACAATGTTGGAGTAGCATAATAATTAAGTTCCTGTAGAGGTCTCACTCGATAGCAATGAAAACTCCAATGGTTGGTGTTAAACCTACCTACATCGACAATTGAGACCTCGACCTACCATAATACTATTAACAACCACTGGATATGGCTCTTGTTGTGATGGAGGTGGAGCCAAAATAGAAAGGTAAACAACCTTATAGACCTCTTGATGAACCTCCAAACAATTTGCAAGGTTCTCCCTCATCGTATCAAAATCAAAAGGATCTTGATGTTGTGGGCTAATACTATGGTACACGTACTCTAATACATTGACCTGAAAGAAAAGAAAAACATACTAATTCTATTAATTAATAAATTCAATAAATTAAATCCCACATTTAATACTTATATATTAACCACATATACATTCTTTGTTATAAGATGCGTCATCCATTGTCGATTATGGTTTTTGTACTAGATTGTGTATTGTGAGTTACTACTTAACTTAGAATATCATATACATCTTGTTTTCATACACGGTCCAACCTTGATTGACATTCCTGAACAAGCTTAAAGTATGTAACACTCCAATCAATATCATCCTTATCTCATAATGTGAGGTCATGCAATTGATCAGGTAAACTGAAGCAGAAGGAATGTGCTAGACCATGCAAAATTTTTGCATCACAAGGTCTGGCTGACGATACTCACAGATGTGAAAATCAATCAGTGGTACAACAGCCTTCCAAACAATCAAGTCTTGTAAACAATAAGGTGGTAATATAAACAACAAGTGATCATATGGTTGCCATAAAATCTGCAGTGAAAAAAAACACAAAATGATTAGTACATCAATATGGAAATTATTTAATTAAAAAAATCTATATCCTTTTATAAATAAATTCTTACATAATGTTATTTTATTTGGTCAAATAATTTTCAATATTTGACAATTTTATTTTATTCTCTTTTATAGATTTATGCAAATTGTTACTCCACTTGTTACACTAATAAGATAGAGGTGGATGTGGAGGTATAAATATTGGGAATTGATACTATGCCTAGAGTTATAGCAGAGAACATGCACCACCTATTTCCTTATGATTATAGTTGATGGACAAGTATAACTCTTTATATAAACTTGCTAGCTAGTACAACAGATCCCCAACTCATGCGATAACTATTATCTATGTCTGCAAGCATAGCCAAATTACCTTAGTGGTATGTATGTAGCTGAATGGTCGACGAAGAGGAAACTGTCAATAATTCGTAGAATATACACTCTAGTAAAGCATTTCAATTGTTCTTGGCTATGGACACAATTAGACGCATCAAAAAAATGACAACCAATCCAATTCATTCTCAATCTATCACCGCTCAAGACATTTGATGGGTGTGGAATTCTTAATAGTTGTTCTACAAGATGAACTCATTGACATTTAATAAAGCTAGTGACAAGTTTCCCATCAACCTTCAATCCAAACAAAATAACAATATCATCTAACATGATTGTATACTCGCCAAAGATCATATGAAATGTATGAGTTTTAGGTCTCCAACGCTCAATGAAGGTAGAAACTAAGTGGTAGTCAATCAAACAATACATCATCTGAACCACTCCAAAAAAGCTAGTTTAGTGCAAAATTGGTCAAATTTCATCTAGGATTGCCTCAGCATGAAATTTACTTATTGTGACTCTTTTTACCTTTAACACCCTATCTTTGTCACCATTCCAAATATGCTTTGGCACGTGATAGGATTACAACTTCAATAATGAGTCATCAAGAAGTTCAAGATGCACTATTTATTGAGATATACTACAATCATAAAAAAAAATTCAAATGAAATTTATATTAATATTATTAAATCAAAGGAAATTTATTTGACCAAATACAGAAATAATAACACAAATTGATTTTTCTTAAAATTTACCTCAACCGCTATTTCAAATATCACTCACATTATTAATGTTTATTAAATTAATATTTATTAATGTAACTAAACAAATATAAATTAAATAATTCTATAATGATAAAATACATTAAAAAATTTAATAAATTAAATAACGTAACTTTAAAGAAGTTTAATTTATAAATTTATAAAAACATATAATAATAAAGTAATATTAATAATTCAAAAAAATATTTAATAATCTAATTAATATGTTTCCTTAAATTAACTTCAATCACTAATCCATTATACTAATTAAATGCATATTTTAGAATTGTTATTTAATACTTTAAAACTATAAATAAATAAAAATAAACTTTTCGAAAAAAAAGGTATTTTTCAAACATAATTAACATTTATTAATTTAAGTATAAAAATAAAAAATTAATTAAATATTTAATAATAACATACGTTAAAAATAAAGAAAAATATTTTACGTAAGCTTACAGATCTTTCATTTATAAATTTTTATTCAAACATATATTAAAGTAATATTAATAAATCAAATTAAATTGAATTATCCTATAATCTAATTAATATGTTTCCTTAAATTAAATCAACCACTATACTAATTAAACATATCTAATATAACACTTTAAAAATATATAAAAATATTTTATTAAATAAAATCAACTTTTCAAAATCAATCATAATATTAAATACTAAAACAATAAAAAATTATAAAATCTTAATTTTACACATAAAGTAATTATCTAGATATACAATATTTGACACATAAATTACTAAATAATAAAAGAATCACTATAAAAAAATATAAAATAAAATAAAATTAAATTAAACTACAACTTAAAAAAACTTGAAGAAATAAATATAGCTTTTAAAATGAAATATTAAAATTGACCTTAATTTGAAGTTTAAATTAGAAAATAACAACGGATGATTTTTTATTTAACCCAACCTACAATATAAAATGATAATTTTAATTAAAAAAATAAGAACAATCAAAATAACTATATATCAACCAAATTAATCATCAACAAACAAAATATTTACAACAAAAGTTTAACTATCAAGATAAAATATTCACCATAAACCTATAAAATGGAGACAAAAAGAATTAACTAACAACCAACAAAGGAATAACAAGACGTAGAAAAAAAAAATCAAATGAAGTAGTCACCCAAAATGGAACCTCTAAGTCCACTAGACAATAAGAAGAAGGTTGTTGTGAATAAAAGAGAAAGGAACTTGCTGAGTGAAGAAGAAGATTGAAGAGGCAATGTTGAAGAGGTGGTGTTGTTATTAATAAACACCAACCATCTTCCTAAGTCTCTTCAAAATTCAAACATCCAACGGAGTCATATGTGATGCCTATTGTTTCATTTTACATGCTCACTAAAAACGTCACCCACCCCAGCATTTTTTTTTGTTACTTTTGTTTCATACCAAAAATGCCATAACCTCCCAACATTTTATTTTCTTTTTCAATTCAAACAAAAAGGGTCTAAGGCTTGTAGCATTTTATTTGTGTTATTGCCAACATGACAAAAACAATTCATTTAGATAAATAGTTTTTTTTTAAAATTATTTTTGTAATTTCCCTTTTTCTTTTTATTTATGTTGGCCAAAAAGGCGTTAACATCCTTTTTAATGCTTCAAAATCATCAAACCAAAATGTTTATATAGTCACACTCAAATTGTTATATGTTCCTCCTTCATATCTCCCTATGCTAAACACATCCAATGCAAGCTTTGGGATTTAAAATCCAGCTAGACATAGAATAATGGAACCCTTCCATTACTTTTTTCCTTCCTAAGATTGGTGCTTTATTGCTTCCACCACCTCCTCCACCCTTTTACTCACATTAGAGAATTTAAGAAAACATTAATCAATTTTTTTTCTATTAATATGCTCAAGAATTAAATGCTCTGGTAGGTATACAATTCTAATTGTATAATGTTGTTAATTATTTATGGCATGATATTTTAATAAAATATGATTATTTTATTATGAAATTGATATATGATATGCGAATTACCTTACGAAAATAAATAAAATGAGACAAATGAAATAAGATGGAGGAAATAAAAATCAATTTAGTTGATTGCTAATTAATACAAACACTCAATATCATTATTGTAAGTCCAAAATTACACAACAATCAAGCCTTGTTATGATTTCATCAATCAAGACAATCCTGTAGATAAACTTTATGTTATTGTCATCAAATCATTATTAACATCTATACTTTGAACAAATCATTAATTTCATTCATCATCACCGGTTTCCATTGAGATTTTAATCTTACAAGATAAATTCTTCATTCTTATTTACTTTGTTGGCACTATTATGTTAAAAAACAATGTTACTTTGCATCATTTGCTATATATAACATACATTCCTTTATTTATGTAAATTTGCTATTTGTAAGTGTTTTGCTTTTACATGCACAAATGTCCATTACATTACATAATCACATCCACTTGAAGGTGATTGATAGAGAGGATTTGATCTAAGGACTCCACTAAACTACACATCCAGTTTTTGTTCCCTTCGAAGATTTTAGTTATGATTTTAATCATCATTTTTCTATTGATTAATAATACTATTATTACTAATATTGTAACAACTAGCATATGACATGGTATATTATGGTGCATGCTTCTTACAAATGCATACAAATATTTAATGATAAAGTTTAGTTGCATATTTCTATTTCTTAGCAAGTTAGCATAATTCACTGTGATATTTATTCTTTGGCTAAACAAAACCACCTTTCTTTCATATATAACAATGATTTTGCCAAGTCTTCATTTCTCTTGGTTCATTATGACATTTGAAACTATATCACCCCACAACTTATGATGGCCTTAGTTGATGCCCAATTAATTTACATGGATATGATCTAACAATGATTTTGCTACGTCTTCATTTTGTCTTGATTCATTATCACATTTCAGAACTATATCATACCAAAATCTTTGATGGCCTAAGTTGATCCCAATTAATTTACATGAGTATCAAACAAAGTTTGAAGTTATAAACTTAACAATATACATAAGCTCTGTCTACTTAAATTATTATGTATATAATAACTAAGTACACTTATAAATAAATAAATGTTTTTAAGACATCAAAATATAAACAAAATAGGGAAAGCAGTTTCCCCCTTTTCATTAATATTAAGGCATTACAAGTAAGATATCCTGCTTACTAAATCTAGAGAATCAGCCATCCAAATGCAGGTAAAGAATACCAAATACTTGTAATGTACAAGTTATTATTGTACTTATTGTAATTATTAAAAATGTTCTTAGAGAGTAGTTCGATACTCATACTGTCATCTTTTAGAAACCAAGCCATATCTTTCTATGATTAGAAGAAAAAAAACTATAACCTTCTTACATGTGTCACTAAGTTGTTAATTTCACCAATTCAGTTGTGAAGATTAATCTTCAGCATATATGTACTTGTCACTTTGACTAAACTGAGGAGCTAGTTGAGAAAAGAGATCAATGAAAGGACTGAATTGTGTATGAAACTAGAGATATTGCCTTTGGCCTGGGGCTACTTTTAACTCTATATTTTTCTTCTATGTGTTTCTGAAACTACATTACTGCTGAAATTCCACTATCAACCGGAAATGAAAATGGGCTGTCCGGGAGATTCAGTCCTTGATTGCTGCATAAAATAATTATTTAAAATAATGAATTAGAAAAATTGAATTGTGTAAGGATAAAAGAGTGTAACCATCCCAAGACATGTTTGAAAACTATAAAATCATCAAAACAAAGAAAAAAGATATGAAATTCATGTTCAATGAAATCTTTTCATAGTTAATAACATTTAGGAATAAGGAGGGTTTGAGCTAGGCATTCAAAGAATATCAATGTGTGGAAAATATTATACAAGAGTCAGATTTATAATTTATTTATTGAATATTAAGAAGAGAGATTGTTCTGTATCAAATATTCATACCTGTCCTCGTCAGTGTAATTCACATCTGTATATCCAGCTTTGTCAATAGGAGCATGACTGTGAGATTCTATGGGCTGGACATTGAAATGATCTACATGAAAGATACAGAGATTATAGTAGTGAGGATAAGCAAAGAGAAATGTAATGAAATTGATTATGCAAATATGCAATCCATGCTAGTATATTATTACTACACACCATCTGAAACTCTCAATCCATTAGTGTTGCAGCCTAAATGGGGTGGAGTGGACAAAGATTTTTGTGCCAGTTGCAGCTCTGCGAAACGTCTCTGAAATTCAAAGGCTGCTTCCTCTTGCTGTTCAATGAGCACTCTCCGAAGAAAGCGAGGGTTCCTGCAACTTCTTGGAGCTAGAAATTCTGTGTATAAGTATAAAGACTTGTTAAATATAAAGAAATTGAAAATCTTGGAGCATATGTATATCATCGTAATAATGATTTAGAACTGATAAATCACGAGGAGAAAAATCTAGATTCCAAACAAGATAACATCATGCTCACTTGAGGTAGCTTCAGTCTCAATGTCTACATAGTGTGGCGAATAATAAACCGGGTGCTCAATCCTATCCGAATGCTTCCTGCATCCAAATTGAAAATCATTAAAAAAAACATCATTAAGCATAAGGAGAGAAAATCTTGCTACAAAATCTGCAAATGCTAAGATTTTAAGAAGTAAATACTGATTCATACTACCCGCATTTGTCACGTCTCATTTTACTTCGTAAAAGATATATAGAAAGTAAAAATGACACTAAACCCAAGACTTGAGGAACTATGACACTAAACCCAAGACTTGACCACTAGCATTCTCTAGGGAGGGTTGAACAATGCATACAAGAGATAGACCATGGAATTTTTTTTGTCAAAATTAATGATAATTATACCGGCATTTCAAGTTTTCAGCAAAAGCAACCAAGTTTCATCGGCTACACGAGAATTGGAATCCATCAAATTCAAATCAACTTCCAATAGAAAGATAATTGAAAGGAATGAACACACCTGACCATAAGTTTTGGCTTCTCCTTATAAGGTTTCACAAGAACCCGAGATTCACAAACATAATGGGGATTTCCCTTATCCAAAATCATTTTAACAGTTTCAGGATCATCAAATGTCACAAATCCAAACATCCTTCTCTCTTGACTCGGAATCCTTACATCTTCAACTTTTCCAAAAGTGCTACACAGAGAAACATGACATGCTAAACAATCATAATTTTCAGACACAATTAACTACAAAGAACCTTGAGTCATTCATTCACCTAAAGTAGTTTGAAACATCACCCTCACTAAAAGTACTATCAGCCGGAAATGTCAGATATATTTGTCGCGATGCACTGATGTATTTACCATAATCTACCTTTCCATTGAACTTTGGAGCATCTTCTGCCAAAACCACGGAATGCTGTCCATGAGGCCTGCTAATCATGCATGGCAAAAGTCAAATTGAATTAGAAATATTCAACAAGTTTATTACATAACAATACATATGAAAATTCACTAGTCTTTACCTGTCAATTAGCCGAATACTGTTTTTCAACCGTGCAAGAAGCTTTGTCAAACTGTAGCCAGACTTACCATGCCTCTGACTCTCAGTCAGGTAGCCATCTGCTTGAAGCACTTTTTTGTATCTATCATAGTATGCCATTGGAAGAGAAGCAATTGATATAGAACCACCTTTTTTAAGTTTCAGGAGTTCAACAATTTCTGACTCTAATTGTGCCAGTGAGCCAGGTGAAATAATTTGATCATCACTAAAACTATCATTGCCATACATGTGAGAGAATATATCAGGGACACCTTGTCCATGAAAGTATCTACAGCTACTTCCATGCTTACAAAATCCTTTGTTGAAATAGTGACAAGTCTTAACAGGAAATTCAAACCTTCTACCAGTTTTCCCTCCTCCCAAATTACCAGAAGAAGCATCTAAGCCATAGTAATCATTACCAATCCCACCAGTCCCAGAATTTGCATTATCCATGTGATTCTCTAAACTGAACAAAGGGGTCTGCTTTTGAAGTTGTGAGATAGAATCCAAATAACCTATTGTCATAAATTCTGCGTTAGTATTCCTAGCGCATTGAGGATCCCAATAAGGAGATTGTTGAACCTGGAAGCTTGCCAGTGAAGTAGTAGTGCTGGGGGAGATCACTGACAAATGGCTTAAACCTTGTTGAGAGTTGATGGGAAGGGAAATTGGATGAATGGCTGATCTAACAGCCAGTTTTTGAAGCTCAGTTCTGGCCTTGAATGCTACCTCGCGAATTAAATGGTCCGGGAGTGAAGCCAATTTCACCATGTCTTGCTCACCATGGTCTTGGAGAAACAGATATCCTATGATCTTTGTAGCATGCTCAGGCTCAAATCTTTGAAGTTTATCAAAAACAATCCTTGTGTACTCCGAAATATCCATGGCTTTTGCAAACTGCAAAAGGTTAAAACAACCTTAACAAATATGAGAATGACTGAATGAATAAAGAAACACAATTTGTCCATTGAGCATAATTTAGAAATAAAAAAATAAAAATAAAATAAAATAAAAAATAGGAACCTTAATGTAAAAGAAAAAAAATTGCATATCTAATTCAACAAATCATACAAATAGGAAGAAAAAAACATAGAAGAAAGAAGAACAAATGGAAAACAAGAGATTTAATGAAAGGCATAAAACAACAAAGTGATGTTCTTCAACTAGAAACTACCCTAGTCCATGAATCTATTTATAAGCAACTGTCTAAGAAACACGTTTCATACTAGACTAGATTTTCCTTAAAAAGATTTTTTTTCAATGTAGAGTTTGATGATTTTTTTTCCTAATTTGGAAAAGAGTAGGAACACATGCTGAGCAACAATCGAATGCCCCGAAAAGCACAAAAACAAAAGGTAGTTATCATTTGCTCATAACCTGAATGAAATTCAAGTTTCATTAATTTTGTAAAAGTTAAAAAATAAAATGAGATTCAAATTTTCTTCACGCACTACAATTCTCATCTGATAAAAGACCCAGATAAAAATAATAATAAGAAGAAGAAGAATATGTAAATATGAATTATTAAAACTCTAGGAAAGTTCATACCATGAAACAAACAGAAGAAGGAGATGAAATCTGTAAGTGCTTAAAGCACAGATCCTTTGAACATCCTTTTTCTCTCTCCTACAAATCCCAGAGATTCCCCTCACATAGTAAACTGAGGAATGCTTTCGAGAAAGTCCAGAATCCAAATAGATGCAAACTTCCAATGATTTGTACTCCCTCTCTCTCTCTGTGCAGTTAAAGCCAGTGAGCAACACTCGCACACTAAGCACTAACACTCTCACTTACGTGACTTAGTCACTGTGCTGACTCGTCTATATTTGAAAATCAAGCACACCTGTTATGTAACCACAAATATGAGGCAAATTATTTTGCTTGATTCTCGAAGTCCATAACTGTTTCTTGAACTTGAACTACCCCAGTTACCAAAACACCCTTGAAATTAAATAATAGACAATATTTCGGAATCACCAATGTGCTAAATTTAGGACTCCATCGAATGCACAGGTCGGCAACATGTGTATGGCACAAACGTGGAGTTTTGTTGTGTCTCTATTTAGGGGAAAAAATTACAATTATGAGGTGGGGCCCAGTTGAATCTGCACCACGGGGTTGGCTCCTTGAGATTCTGAAACTCAGATCTTGTTGGTTGGGGACCATAGGGGGAAGAAATATATCATATATATGCTCCATGCAAGTTTTTGGCTAAGGCAAAAAGGTTTGGTTTGTGGTGGAACATTTTCATTTTATTTTTGCAGAAGAGAACAACACAAACCACGTAATGGGACAATACCATGTCTTACACATTAAAGTTGTATAAATCCAATGTCACACAGCCACAATTCACATGATAAAGGGTCCCTTTTGTTTCCCATCCTACTAGATTTATTTGTGGTGTGGTAAACGGGGTCCACTTCATGTTTGAGGGCCCCACAACATCCAAGAGACATTTGTTGTTTAGAACTTGAGATGGTCCAAGACTCCAAGAGACTCTTAAACATGATACATGTATGTAGTAGCATGACTTGGTTTAATTTGATCTAAAACTAAGGTTTATTTGATTCGATTGTAACTAGTATTTTATAGTACGTGTAATGTATAAGATAAAATGTTATTTGAGCAAACTATATATTAATTTAGGCTTGAAAGTATTACCTTCTCTATTAAATTGTTCTTCAAGTAATGAAATTATACTAGTAGTATTAAAACTATTGAAATTCTATTAATTTATTAGTTCTTATTATGATATATTTTGCTATGTGTTGAGATATTAATTTGAAGAATTTTTTATGTAGCACGATTTCTAATATAATACTTTAGGGATAACTTATATAAATTTGTTGCTTTAAATATTAATTAGGAGAAAGAGTAATACTTTAAAGGGACTAAATTGATAGTTTATTATTTTTTTATATAACTAAAATTTAAAATAAATATTTTCAATATATAAATTACATTAAAATTTATAATAAATAATTATTTTGTATCATAAAAATTATATTTTAAATTTATAATAAATGATTTATACTAAGATGAAAAAGGTATTCTGTGCTTTTATGTATTTTTAAAAAATAAAAAATAATAAAAGTTGAATGATAGTAAGAGTTCTTATCATGTTGTATTATTGATATCCTCCTACCCCCAACACAGTAGGTCATGAAATGAAAGGCTTATTTATAGATAGGCAATCACCCATTCCATTTGAGAGATTTTTTTAAGAATGGAGTGCGTGAGGTTTTGGCTGAGGGATATTTGTTATGTGAAAGATTATTAATAAGGGTATAGATCAATAATAACATCTTTATTCACAACCGGTTTTATATTTGTGTTTGTTAATTAAATAATAGGATTTTATTTTTAATTTGAGTATAAAATTGTTATTAAATAATCTCAAACGTATAGTTTAGCGGTAGGGGTTGATCCACGCTTAAGCAAGGTTAGAGGTTCAAATCCTGCCTTGTGTATATAGCCGCGTTAAATCTTGGAGCCAGCTATCTCACCCTTTGAGGTGCCTCCAATCTAGCGAGGAGATTAGTCACGCTTATGAACGGTGGATACTCCAGGAACGAAAAAAAAATTATTAAATATATTATTTTATTTTTAAGTGGATCGATCTGGTGAAAGAGTTATACTTTTTAGATTTTATAAAAAAAAATAATAATAATACATTTATATTTTTAGATAATTTTCCACAAGTCTTGCCAAATAATTTAAATTTAAATTATAATTTATGAAATTCACTTCTATTTTTTATTTATCAATATTCACATGTGATTTATTTAATAATAAAGAGCGTGTTAATTATGATATTAATAAATTATGACGCAATTTCTCATTCAATAAATTTCATTTCATTGGGTAGTCTAATTAAATCTATCTTGACACAATTGAATAATAATTGATTTCATTTGAAATCAAGTTGAATTTGGTGCAAATCAATGTTTGCTTATAAGTTTGTCTCAAATTATGTTCAGAAACTACTTGGGTTCAATTCAGGAGCTCAAAATACACGAACCAAACGAAATCATATATGAACCAAAGGACATTTACATAAGATAATTTATATAAATATCATACATTCATGCAATTATATTTGTATATAAATAATAAATAATTTATGTGTATTTTGTTGATTTATATATAATCCAGTCGGTTAATGATAAATCAAATGAATTAACTTTCACATTTAACTCATTTATTAACATCTTGATTTTTTATTTAAGATCAACTCATTGAATTTATAAACAAGGTTATTTGAATGGTGAACTTGAAGTGGAAATGATATAAGAGATCCCGATAAAACAATTATGGTTGAAGAAAGAAGTGGGTGCTAACCAATTGCAAACACACTATTTATTTAGGGTTTAGGGTTTAAGTGATTTTGTATTTCAATAGCCTAACATTAAATATTTAAATATATTTTTAGTTTATAAAATAAGTTATTTTTAATTTTAGTTTTTGTGAAAAAAATTATTTTTCATCTTGCTAAAAAATGAATTTTTTATTTTTAGTTTCTACTATTTATGATCCTTATTAACTAATTTTATATTTTTCATATGGTCAAAGTGATCATTCACGACTGTATTTGATAGTATATTAATATACTAAATTTTTTATAAATTTTTTAAATAATTGTTATTTATCTGCTTTCTTTATTTTTTATTATAAGAAAAAATAATTTTTTTAAATATAAACAAATTTCACTATTTTTATCTCATTTAATGATACTCTTTCTAAAAATATTTCTTTTAATGCATAATAAGAACAATTTAAAAAATAATAATTTGAATGTAAAAGGTGATAATCGGAATATAATACCTCAACTAGGGATTTTGAACTAAAAATATTTATCCGGAACCAAAGCTTGTCAAACTAATTAACAAGTTGAATCTTAAATTAATTTCAAGTTGATTTGATTCACTTCCAACTCTAAGAATTGTGCGGTATAGTTTTCTAAAAAAAATAAGAATTAAAATCACAACTCACTCATTTTATGAGAATTAAAAACATACTTAATCCTATAATCTAATACAATTATGGATACTTTAAGAGAAATTTTTACACGTGACAACACTTCATGCATTTGAAGTTTTGAACTTTTATCTTTTGTCAAAATTCATAAAAATGTTAGCAACATGTTTTTTTGACATATTCTTTTAAATGTATTTTCTCTAATTAATTAAAATTTATTAAAAAAAACATAAAATTTGGTTAGTCTAATCATATTTAATGATTTTCTCTTATTTTATAATTTTTAATAAATTCTAATAAAAAAGAATGAGTGTATTAAAAGAAATGTAATAGAGAGCGAATTTCTTATATTCTACTTAAGACTTTTAATATTATCACCTTTTTTAAAATGTCAACACTCATGAAGACATTCGCTCTATTGATACTTGATACTAACTCATTGATAACCCTTTTGTATTTTACGGCTTCACTCTTCTACCCATATTAATATTTAATTTACATCTTAATTCAACTTATAGATAAATTTTTATATTTTATAAATGTTAATTTATTATTGCAGTACAACATGTTTGTCAACAAGCCCCCTCAACTCCTCACACACCATATTCATAAAGGCAAATTTATCCTGATGATGAAAGAACAATTGAACTGAATAAAGTTATTATTATAATTAATCTAATTGCGGACCTTCAGCATCACACAATATTTTTGTGTGATTAAAACAATAATGTCGTGTATATAATGATTGATTATTATGATTTTTTTTAGAAGATGATTGATTACTATGATTGAGATATCTATAATTAATTAATTTATTTAGCACAAGGTAGATGTTTTTAGATGTTTTTCAAACTTCGATTATAATATAGTTTCTGCCAAATACACACTAATTTCTTAGAAATTAAAATCATTAGGATGAAGGATGGTATCTTAGTTTAAGGTTATGTAAGTTTTGGTTCGTGAATAAGATTTTTTTTTAATAATTAAGGAGGTATATATAATAACTCTTTCATGAAATTGATCTAATACTTTTAGTTACGATTTTATATTTAAAATTTGTTAGGAAAATCTTACGATTGAAAAATTGGAAAATCATTTCAATAAAATAATGATGGTAAATAATTGGAAAATTCTAGCGTCAACTTCGACATCATGTTATATTGGCCAAAAAGTTTCTTTCATATTTTTTTGGTAAAGCAATTAATTTTAAACTAAAAAAAATTATTCTCTTCAACTTGCGTTGGTTAGGTAATTTTTTTTATGAGAATTGAAAAATTATTGATTTTTAAAATCGAAAAGTAATTATATTTAACTAAATTTCTCATTTTACTTTATTAAAATTACTTTTTTTTTGTAATATCACAAAGAAATGACAAAATAAAAAAAAACATAGAGTAATTTTAAAATTTAAATAATAAATAACTAAAAATGGATTAAAACTTCTAATTATCTTCATTTTAAAATGATGATGATGTGGTTTTTTAAAATAAAAGATTTTGTCATACATATGCAAAGTAACAAAAGTATATGGTATAACTAAAGTCTTAAATTCGAGTTTTGTGAATAAAAAAACATAATTAGAAGGAAATATCTCAATAAAGGTAATCAATTAGATTTTGTGACAAAAAATATTTCGTATCAATAATATAATTAAGAATATATTATGGTATACCATGAAGATGGTGAACAACTAAATAAGACGAGACATGACAATAACACATACATAACATACTCCCACTATTTCAAATGTTGATCTATATTTTAAAGACACTTCCTAAGTTAATAATTTAAAAATATTAATATATATTATAGATAATTCACATCTTATGCCGACAAAGTCTTGCATAATAGATAGATAACTACGTTTTTAAGCATCTTATAAGCAATTTGATTCTTCATCAAGTCCTTTAAAGATAGTATCTCACACATCTCTAGCTTCCTAACACTAATTGGTAGAGAAGATGAAAGTGGAAGGAAGTAGACGGAATAAGTGAGGAAAGAAATTAAAGAAGAGAAGTAAGTGGAAGATAAAGTAGAAGTAGAAGTTGTTTGGTAGGAGAGAAGAGAATTGATGGAAAAGTTAGTTTTTTTTATTGAATTAAATAAAAAAAAATTAAAATGATGTTATAAATCAATTTACATATAAGCCCTTGACAATTAAGTTTATGATTCATATAATTTTATAATTAAATAAGTCAATATAATCGATTATATGATGATCATAATTGGTTATATAGACTTTTAGAAAGCACCTAAATGTATTAAGAGTCCACATAGTCAACTATGATCACCACATAATTAATTATATGGATAGTGAAGACCTTTGTAGCTGAAAATTTAACTTTCATAATCTATTATGTAACTGCCATAAGTGATTATAGTTGTCAATAATCACACCACATAACCATTGGCCTCCAATCGTATAAGGATACAATTGTAAAATCCTACATTTCCCTTCTAATCCACCCATTTTAGTGTGTATTAAAAAGTTGTGGAACCCACCAATTTCATATTTCCCTTCTATTCTAATCACTAACACCAAACCCAGAAGACCATCTTTCTTCCACGGTCTCCCCCCTCTCCTTTCCTCGTAATTCATCTCCACCAAATATACTATAAGCAATTTCAAATATCATTTCTTGATTTTCGTATAAAGCAAGCTTACTCTCATTGTCAAACTTTTGTGTAAGAAACCAAATTTCAAAACTATGAATTTCAAGTTGCACTAAAAAAGAGAGAGGAGATTTTAAAGTAGTTGATGTTAATGAAGATTTTTATCTCTAACATTTTTCTAAATACGATGACTATAGGCATGACCTTCTATAAAGGTCTTTGATTAGCTTAATTAGTTTATTATTGGCACCTTTTCTTCAAACCTTTTAATAGTGAGATCAAGAAGCTAGTTGCATGGATTCATATTCCAAACATTCTAGTTAAGTTTTAAAATGAGAAGTTTTTTTTGAATGCTAGTTGTTCAAAAATCAGTGAATATCATTATTTGTGGAAAGTTGGTCCTTAGATAACAATTGACTTCATTCTTTCATAGCTTTTGGAAAGAAAAAAAAATTCAAGATAGAGTATAAAATATTGTAGTTTATATGTTTAAAGTGTTATGTGATTCACATAAACTTTCTCTAGTATATGATGGAGAGCCTCAAATTCCTTAAAATCAAATTACAAATAGTTTGACATTGAATATAATGATGAATTCAAATATATATATATATATATATATATATATATATATGTATGTATATATATTAAGTCAATCTTGTAGTGAATTAAGATTCCATGATTATAGAAATAGATAACATAATGTCCTTATATTCAGTCAAAAAGATGTTAATAAAGAAAGCCCTAAAAAGAAGTATTTAGTTTGAATTTCAAAAATATCCTTATGAGGAGATAAAAAAAAGTGGATAATATATATTCCATAAATATGCCTAAGAAAAATATTTGATGTTCAATTCAACAAATTAATGCTAAACATATTTCAAAATTTTGCCTAATTGTGAAAAATCAAAAATTAGGAAAATCTTATTTTGAAGTCTTCTCCTCCAAAGTCTACCAAATAAGCCCATATAACTAAGCCCACTACATGAAGAAAAAAAACTCATATGACAATTGATCTAACATTTGATTAACTTGTTGTAGTTGTTGCCCAACTTGCCTTTCAAATGAATGAAAAAAGTCTACCATAAAAAATATTGTCAATTAATGTCTTAGGATTTTGAAAGAAAGATGTAGTTTTTGTTGTTGTTATATAATGCACCAAAAGTAAAATGTGTGCTTTTAACTCCTTGTATTTAATAAGCTTATGTATGAGTGTTAGCTTCTGTCTACAGTGAACAAACAAAACATATGATTCATCAGTAAAGAACTAATAAATATCATTATATCAATGAATATTTAAATGAATGGACAAGATTTATTATTTAAATTGTCAAATTAAGTCATATAATAATATCAAAAAGAAATATTACCCTAGTTTTCTATCATAGTTTAGTGTCATTCACCATCATCATTATTTGTTGCTATCCTAGACAACCATGATGAACCTAGGGTTTGGTTCGCCTTGTCAAGTGTGACCTATCCCTACAAATGTCGACATCATCAAAGTTGTGATACACCCTCACACACTATTCCCAATCAACATTTTTGTGAGCTTCACTTTTGCTATGGTGTATAGTATTATTATGGATACCATTGGGATGCTGAGAACCATTGCAACAGGGTTGGCTAGCCCACCGCACTTGTGACAAGAACCACCAAAGGACATCGTCAATTCCACACCCTCAACATTCTTGAAAGCAAGGGTGTCATCACCCCCTCTAAGCCCTACATGTACGGTGTGTGCAAGTGCAAGTGAAAGATCCACCTCAACCTCAAGAAGCATTTTCACCAACCCTACCAATGTTCCAAAAGAAGCTTAATCGGTTGAAGTGGTTGAAGGGGGAGAAGAAAAGGGAGCAAATCATTGAGGGGTTTTTGTGAAGGGGTCATAAGTATGATGATGCGGCGATGACACTAATGGTGCCAATATACGTGTTAAACTTTAAAAATCTTGCATTTTGATATGATATTCATTGATGTTTTGCCTTAATTTATTGTTATTTCTTTGACATTACTTCACTTTTTTTTATTTCTTCAAACAACTCAAAATCAACATGCAACCAGCAATTTGTTGCAACAATACAACATTTTGTCCAAAATCAATAAATTCTAGCTTTCCTTACCTCGAGACGAAGTGAACGATAAACTCCGAGGTTAAAGAAGAAGAAAAATAAATGAAGATGCTTCGGGGAGGAAGACTAACTTTACTAGTCTTCTTGATTCTCAAACTCCACCTTCCAAATCAAACCCTAACACTCATATTTCAGCTAAGAAAGATAATGAGAAGAGAGCAATGGAAGGAAAGGAAGAATAAGAGATAGAGCGTTTGTGGGTGCGGAGAGGTGCGAGTCTTACATTAATCGAATTTTATTTAAAAATTTAAAAGATTAATTACTTTTTTTCACAAAAAAATTAATTAAATTCTTAAACCAAAAATTTATAATTAAATCATTATTATTATTATTTTTTACATTTTTCTAATTAAATTTCTTAAGTTAACTTGTGACGGCTTATAATCGTTTTAAAGATAACAATTTATTACAGTTTTATTAACTTCATGAATTCAATAGATAAATCATAGACCAATTATAATTTTTTAATTTGAAAATTATGAAAAATTTCGGGATCAGAGGTGTATATATAAAAAAATTGTTCTTCTTTTGAAGTAACATATTATTGCAACTTAATCATTACCAAAATAAAAAAAATATTATTGGAACTTAATTTGTAATTTACAAGTTACAGGTACCATTGATTTTTCTTTTTCTCCTTTTAATAAAAAGATAGATCAATGGTTTACAATCGACAATGCAAGTTGAATACTGACCTTCTCCGGCGACCGTGGCTTGAGGCGGTGCTCCACTTAGGTTTTCGTTACCATACTCTTGATGCCAAAGTTTTGATCTTTCAGAGGTATAATTTAAGATTCACTTCATTTCCTTCAAATTCAGTCACTTTACCCAAATGGGTATATTCCCATTTTGTGTTTTTCATGTGTGTTTATGGCTTTCCGACGTTCCTAGTGTTTTCTATGCATTTTGGGTTGTTTTCTATTTTATTATTTTTGTAGGGTATTTTAATGATAATTTTGATTTTCAATTTTTGTTCATAGAATTAGGCTTGAATCATCTGGAACAAATCACTCAAGAGATTGAGTTAGAGCTATGGACCCTGTTGATTGGGAACATGAATTGAAAAAGTACCAGGATGTTATAGCTTCAGGTACCAAGTGTATGAAAATAAAGGCCATGGTGATGCTTGCTCGTTTCTCCAAACATGCCCCTGAGCATGTGTTAGCTCGCACCATACCCTTTCTCACTGAGATTCTTGGTCACAATGTTTCAAATGATTCTGCTCCTTCTCTTCAGGAGGCTGCTGCTTATTGCTTGAAGTGCATTGCTTGCAGGGGTGATGGTGCTTTGGCGGTTGAAATCGGTGGACATGGTGCCACTCATTCTTTGATGAGGTTGTTGCCTCATTCTGATGGAAGGATGCAGAAGGTTCTGATAAAATGTTTGCTGCTTGTTGTTAGCTTTTGCAATGCTAGTAGGACAGTTGTTGCCACCAACGGTGGGGTGGAAATGATAATTGGTTTGTTGCGTTCTTGCACCGATGATACTAGGAGGTATTTGTTGGAGATCTTGAGTGTGTTGGCGTTGAGGAAGGATGTTAGGAAGGCACTCACTAGGCTGAGAGCTCTTCGCTATGTCGTGGAGGCTGCTGGTTTTGGGAGCATGGTGTTAAGGGAAAGGGCCTGTCAAGCAATTGGGTTGCTTGGAGTCACGAGGCAGGCTAGGCGTATGCTGGTTGAATTGGGAGCTATACCGGTGCTTGTGGCGTTGTTTCGCGAAGGAGATCACACGACTAAGCTTGTAGCTGGTAATTCTCTTGGTGTGATATCTTCTCATGTTGAATACATTAGGCCAGTTGCTCAAGCTGGGGCTATCCCACTTTATGCCGAGCTTCTTGAAGGACCTGATCCTTCTGGGAAGGAGATAGCTGAGGATGTGTTTTGTATATTGGCTGTTGCTGAGGACAATGCTGTGGAAATTGCTGGGCACTTGGTGAGGATTCTGAGAGAAGGTGACGACGAAGCGAAGGCTTCTGCAGCTGATGTGATGTGGGATCTGTCGGGTTACAAGCACTCGACATCTGTGATCAGGGATTCGGGTGCGATTCCTATTCTTGTTGAGCTTTTGGGGAGTGGAAGTGAGGATGTGAAGGTGAACGTTTCTGGGGCATTTGCTCAACTGAGCTATGATGGAACTGAAAGAATGGCACTTGCTGAGGCAGGGGCAATACCGATTCTCATTGACTTGATGAATGATGCTGATGGGGTTGAGGAACTAAGGGATAACGCCGCAGAGGCCCTTGTCAATTTTCATGAAGATCCGTTGTATCATGGTAGAGTGTCTGATGCGATTAATGTTCCTTCGTTCAGAAATATACAGAATAGATTAGTTCATATTCGTGCATCGAATGAGCATATGGCTAGATCCTTGAGAATAATAAGCGTTGAGCAGCTCACTTGGAACCCGGATCTTGTATAATCATCTTAAGGGTATGTTTTGATCTCAAAGCCTTTGCTAAGTAGGTTGCACTCCAAGTTTGATTAGTGTTTCACCCTAGCATAGATGTATGTTGTCATGAGAATTGGGAGGAGGTACTATCCTCCTCCCCTTGCTAGAGAGAAAACTTGATATCTTTGTTGTATAGTTCAAGAAGTTCACATATACAAATATAAATGAGTGAGTATATAACCTTATATTTTGGGGGAAAATACTTGAATTTATATAACTTAGTTGCCAAATGTCACCCATTACTGTCATTAGTTATGTTATTTCTTAAGAATCAGAAACAGTCATTCCTTTTAATTTTATCAAGATCCAAGGGCACTTGCATTTTGGTTCTTACCTAAATTCTTTTGTTATAGTCATTCATTTTGAATTTTCATTATCTTCTTTATAGAGTCTACATCCTCTAGAAAACTCTAATACCCCATTATTTTGATTTGGGATCAGGCAACGCCGCTTCTTTTTAGAGGATTGGGTCTTTAGTTGTGCCACCAATGTTGGCATAAAAAGCTATTGCAAACTTATACAAACCCAACCGTTCTTAAACTCTTTTTAGCGGGGAGCTTCTTGTTTTAATGCAAGATTATAGAATATTTTCAAATTCACCTTTTTATTTATTTATTTATTTCAAAAGTCTTGAAAATTGAGAACATGAACGAAACATTTATTTTTTTAATGCTCAATGCATATGGTTATTTATTTATTTATATATTTGTGCTTTAACTTGAAAACTAAAAATGGATTAACAATCACTTATTAAGAGATAATTTGGGCAAATTTTTCAACAAGCACTTGTTAGAATAAAATAAACTAAACTTCTGGCATTAGTTAAAATTAACTCATGTTAAAAAACAGTTTATGTTAGTTGGTTGAGTAGGGTGTTTGAGTTGTTGTAAACTTCTTGGTATTGAGATTGATTCTTATTGATAAAAAAAGAAAACTCATACATGTTAATTTTTCAGAAGTTCCTATATGTAACTTTTCAAAATTATATAAATTTAACTATAGACATAATGTCTTAACAATAAGGTTTTATAATTGAAAAACTCTAACAAGCTAAAAGCTAATTGAAACTGATCCTACGTGCCACTAACCAGACTCAATTATCTATTTTGTTTCTTCCCCCCTCCCCACGTAGATAGTACATCAATCATAAACCCTTGTTCGTTCATCGAATTAGCCAGTTACCCTTGGCCTTAAGATGCATGTAGTGGTTTAAATTTCTACTGCCAGTAAAAGTTCGCCCACTTACACTTTATTTGCTAGTTAAGCCAAAACTAAATCTGAAAAAGAAATTGAATCAAATTGTCAAATCAATTGGAACCTTGGGCTTGTTTATGGTTTTCAATTGTCATGTTTTACTTATAAAGCTAATGCAATAATGCCAGGTAGTGTAATATGAGAAGAATTTACAAAGACACCACAAAATGGCTTTTGCAATGATAGCTAGTGGATAGTTATGACTTATGACAAACATTCAATCTATGGGAAGTTGACTTACATCACATGTTTTGGCTGTATAAGTGTCTCCCAATCAGCTCAACTACAATGTTGCAGCAATAAAAAGCGCCAAAACATGCTAAAACATATAACTAAAAAAAGGCTTGTATGATTGTATCTCTTTGCGGCAATATAAAAAATATAAGGATTTAAGAGATACATCTTTCAGATAAAAAAAAAATGAGTGTCAATGATGAATAAATAATAGAACTTTCCATAGCTGGGGAGAAAAACTTTTTTAAACCAAAAGCCTTTTATTTTTCATTTGTTTTTATTTTTATTTTTTTTATCTACAAACCAAAAAGGGGGAATGGAAAACCAAAAAGAACATTGAAGGAAATTGTTAAGAGAGATCTCAGTGTATATATTTATTGGTTTTTAATCGAATCCAATGACATCATGCTATCTATGTAGCTAATCTACTTGATGACACAAAAATGTTTGTTGTTGTACTACAAACCATAAGCTAAAAGAACATTTTTGTGAATAGATCTGTAATACAATTGGCACCATCTAAATCCTAACAACTGCTACATTTTGTTTTCACTGATTGTTGGACCTTGCGGGGTTACTTTAGTCTCCAACAGTTTTTGACTACCATTTGTTCGTGTAAATTGAACAGCGGTTACCTTTTTGGCATTTCCTGATAGTATCTGCACCAAAGAAAACAGGGTTTCATCTATACTGGACACAAAATAGATAAGAGCAAAAGAAAAAAGTGAAGATCTTGTTTCAGTTAGATTATACAAGTTGGCTGAAAATAATAATAAAAAAAAAATATAAAGTGGATGAAATATGGCAATGTAAAATGTCTGATTCTCATTTTTCTTAAAAGAGAAAAAAAACTTATTCTGATAAAGCTTGTTAGATATAATCACTTTATCAGAAATCACATAAACTATGAACAACGCAATATACAATTTACCTAATAAGATAGTTTAGCCCTATGAAGGTACAAGGCATTAAGTGATGATTGGATTACTTGTTTCACTTTCACTACATAAACTTGTTAAAGTAGTGCAAGAGAAAACCTCTCATGTCAAAGCAGGCCATCAACTATCCTAATGTCTACAACGTAGGATTGCTTTTAAAAAAGTGGCCATCGTAGTGTAGCATGAGTGTTTATTATGCAGTCCTCGTTGTTACAATTATGCTATTATTACACTGAGACTCTATAATGCTCTATGTTCTATGCTTTCCACTTTGCATATAACAAATCATGATCAAAGTAACCGCATTTTGTAACAAAGTCCAGATAACGATAAATTGATTACCTTAAGTTTGAAAGTCTCTTTTTGATTCTTGTGGTTAGCATTGGACACGTCATTATCATTTTGATTTTTCCTTTCAAGAACCACTTCAATGCTCTCACCTGCCATAGGTATGTATCCAAAATTTTCACATGCAAAGCCAGATACTGTCTCATATTGGTGGCCCTGTAATAATACAAGCAAAATAAGTATTAAGAGCCACTTCAAACCTGAAACAGCTCAACAATTTATGAGAAGTACTATGTACATAGATAATTTCAATATGACATCATAGTCTCCATTTACCAAAGCTTCATAAATTCCAACTATTGTGAACAGCAAATATATGTTCACACTTCATAATATGGCCATGCAGATTTTCACTGCATATTGTCAACATGTGTGAAATATCATGATGCATCAACCTTGCCTGCTAAAATATCCAATTGACTAATGGTGTTTATCACTCTATCTAAGATGCAAAGGTGCTCAGTTCTACATTATGATCCTGATATATAAGGTTACAAGCACTGCAACTTTATTCTGAGGCAAATAGACGAGTTGCGTGAATGTAAAATAGTGAACCTGAGGCATCTTGATGTTCAAATATTCGGATAGGTGATCAATAGATGTCTTTGCATCCACATCAAATACACCATCTGCTTGCTTTACTATGTGGCCAGTTTTCTTCTGAATCTCTTCCTGTCAAAACACCAAGAAAGAATGTAATGAAAGTTATATAATGTAAAGTCTACACGTTAATCATTGTACTTATTAGCAACACAATCCTGTTGTTGAACAATACATACAGAGAGAGACCGAATTTTAATATATGATTTCAGTTATTTAAGTTTGAAATCAAAAGAAACAAACAAAAGAGAGCGCACAAACATTTATATTGAGCTTTACCTTTGAGTCGTTTTCATCAAAGATTTCACCAACAATTTCCTCAACAATATCTTCCAGAGTTACAATCTGTAGAAGGGTAATATAAATAAGACATCTTCCATACACATACATAGGCCCTCTAAAATTGTCAGAACTTATGGGCAGGGAACATAAAATATATTTCAGACAACTCAGTTTATTTTACAAAGTCATCAAAGAAGTAACCCTCTCTTTGCTCTAGCCATTGATAAGGATTTACTTCATCCAATTCAATGAATCCATAAACCAGCTATTGTGAAATACAGCAAGCAAGTGAAGAGGTGACCTATGCATAATTACATATAAGCATACTGAACGCAAATCATTCAAGCAATTTGTAGATCACTATCCTTGTTTGCTCTAAAGTCTTGATCTATTTTCAGGTAAGCTTTACATTTTATTATTATTATGATGATGATGATGACTACGATGACGACGACGACGATGATTAAGCTTTTCAATCATTTACGCATATTGCTCCAAATGATAGCATATTTTTATTGATATATTTACTTCCTTTTCCAGTATTTTTGATATGATATATTTTTAGTTATGTATTCATTTGCAGCATCAGATATTCATATTTTGATTCCAACACTTGGATCTAAGTTGAATTCCAATATGGTGTTGAGACTTACTCCAACAGTTCCACCATACTCATTACAAACAACAGCCATGTGAACCTGCTTGAATCGGAAGTCTCTTAGAAGATCCCAAATAGACATTGAATCTGCATAAGTAAAAGAATTAATCATTTAACATTCTACATTGAACTAAACAGATATTGATGCATTCCTATCTAAACCAATTCTGCATGATGACATAAAGGAGGCATTTTTTTACAAAACATTTTTGTATTAATGTTTTTTTTTTTTTTTACATTAAACTCTTTCGGGGAAGGGGTATGACCCCTACTCTTCCTGGCCAATACAATTACGCTAGCCTTAGAAAGTAATATAAAAATGATTTCCGCATAAATTGTAGAAAGAAGTAATTACCTGGCACAAAATAAACAGGATCATGAGCTAACTCTTGAACAGGAGTAATATCTAGTACCCCACCCTTCAAATTCAAACAGATTGGAATATTAGAAGATAGAATTAATAGGCTAAACAATTATAACTCTACATATGTAACATAAAGGACTAAACTTTTGAAACCTTCTGACAAAAATCCAGCAGATCCAGTGAATATGCAATGCCAATTAAATTATCAACACGCTTCTCAAAAATAGGTATCCTAAGAACACATCAAAATCCAGTTATCACAATGGAAAAACTAAAATCAAAGTCAATGTAAAGCACTAAAATCTGTAAATACCTTGAGTACTGATGTTCCCTCCACAAGTTTCGAAAATCTACCAGACTTGCACTTGCATCAATTGCAACAACATCAACAAGAGGTGTCATAACCTCTCTGACTCGTGTTACTTTTATCTCCAACACATTTTCAATCATATCCTACAGAATATAATTATATAGATTCAATAATAAATTAAGGTCTTTTGAGAGTTGAAATTAGCTTAAAATTTAGTACAAGTTACAAAAAACAGTTATGAAATATTATTGATGTTTCCAAAATCTATAGTTTCCATTAAAGTGAAATGAAAATTACATGAGATACAGTTTTCTAATGTTAACAAATCCATGAATTTTCATTATCTATGAAAAAGAATGGTATTAATATTTCAAGATCAATAAACATAATATGCATCACCTGTTCTTCCTCCTCTATTGCCCCACTTAATTCTGCTCCTCTTACCATCAACTTTAGCTCTTCCTCAGTAACATATGGTTCTCTAGTGCAGTAAACAACGACTGATTAGTGTGGAATATTGGAAGTTTCAAGGAGAATGTTGACTAATATAACTGTATGCAAGACATGTTTTATATGAATGTTATCAAATAATCCACGATATGCGTCCTAAAAATAAACATACTAAAATGACAACTTTACACTCTTCAAGTAATATATAAAATAGAATAAAATGGTGAATAATGCTTGTTCTTTAAAACCAGAATTGGAAAATACATGCATGATTATAATTTTGTTAATAGTACACTAGTATTATAGTTCACAGTATAAGAATAAAATTCATTGCCTTGTCTAATATGATATTGACCAAAATTTCAATCCATAAAATGCAATCATTAATTACAGAACAATAAAAAGGCCAACAATAGTACACCATATGCAATAACTGTTAATAACTCAACATTAGAAAAGGGTTGGATAATATCATGGTCCACATAGGACATTATCCTGTCATGAAGGGAACTACTAGTTTTCAATACAGAATAAAAGTAGACCACACAAACAAAATTAAGAAAAAAAAAAGAAAAAGAAATTGCAATAAAAAGATCCAAGGATGACCCATTTGATAGCTTTATTGCAAGACTGTTTTTTGACAAACCTTGTTCCCTTTATGCCAAGCAATTTCAATATCGCCTTTGAGAAATATGTAACAACTCTTCCTACAGGATACAAGACTACGGAAAGATACCCCACTGGCCTGACCTGGATCAGAACCAATAATTATTATCAAAAGAAATTAAATAAAAAATATCATGTAAATTCAAATGAGTAATTTTTATAATTTCTGTTCCCAAGATTATCAAAGAAAATTACAACTTACCACAAACCGAGCCACATCTGTGGCATTGTGAACTGCAAAACTTTTTGGAGTGATCTCAGTGAGAAGCAAAATAGCAACCTTGTATGATTTAGAAACAAGAGATAAAGTAGACATTTATTAGACAAAAGAATAACATTTCTGTGGAAAAATATGCAAAAGCTTGCAAACTTTATATTAGAATAACAAGCCAATACATTCGAGTATGAGATTATTTTGGTACATAACATCCTATTATTTTAATAATCAGAATTCAGAGATAAAAATTAAACAAATATTGTAGCATGAAGGATAAACATACAGTCATCAATCCTGTTGCTGCAGTAACACCAGCTTCACCAAATGCTGCAGTTGCAGTGTTAGTAACCAGAGCTGTTGCTCCAATATTAACCACTCTGCAGTCAATAAAATAGTCTAAAATAAGAAGAGGAACACATTGAAGCTATGATACTTTTCAATGAATATATGAATGAAATGCAAATCATACGTTGTGCCAATAAGTATGGTTGTAAGGAATCGGGTTACATCTTTTTGGAGCAGTTTGAAGACGAAATTTTCAGACTCCTTTTCAGCTAACTCACGAACCTGCAATTATATCAACAATGATTAGACTTCAAGACTTTGATCAGCTAAATTTTTCATATGGGCAATGCAAGTATAGTGTAACAAAATGCAGGATACTAAAGAAGTGAAAAATATTTCTGAAAGGAAGGGGAAATAATGTACCACATAAGTAAATGATACTCAACTCCAAATATAATTAATAGGTAGGTGAGAGTTATAGACACCAAGTCCTTAAAGTCGCACTATTATAAGTATTCACAATCTTCAGTCAAAATGATATTATATTAAATAATTTGAATCTCAAAAAATACATTAGTTAGCAGTAATCAAATAATAAATACTTCAAAATGGTCAATTGAATGTCATTGAAGGATCATTTTGGTTTATTTACTGACAGTGAAAAACATTGCATGAGTATTTCTAAATTTAGGTAAAATATAAAAAATAAAAAAAATATTTACATAATGTCTGATTAGAGGAAAATGGAGAAGAAAGGAAAGAGAAAGGAATATTCTTTTTAAAACTTTCATGTTCTGATGGCATACATAAGTTCTTATGTGGTTCAGAACTAACTAATAATTTCTGGTTCAGAACTAACTAATAATTTCTGTGAGAGGTAGAAAAGACAATTTTTTATTTATAAAAGCGTATATGATAATGTATCATTCTGACAAAAGTAAACAGAACCAAAAAACAAATGAAAAATAGGTACCTTCCAAGGCCAAAGGGTGGTAATTGAAGTCTCTGCCATAGAGAAGAATGCAGAAAGAGCCAAAAGTACAGCCAGTACCAACCCTTGCTCCTTAAATATCCTAAGAACTGGCAACACTTTGGGCCATGCATTCCTAACAAACACTTTGCTATGCTCCACAATAGCCACCACACCTTCTACAGCCAAGGCTTGAGGACATCCAAACAACAACACCCCAAAAACAGTTGCAGCCAAAATGGTCCCCATCCTCTTCTTCAGTAACTTCAAAATAAAGTTCAAATTCCCTATGGAAGCATCATTATTTCCACTGAAACTGTCAGTACTACTACTTCCAACCAAACATTTCAAGCCACCATTGGTAAATAACTTAGGATCACCCCTATGATCAGAAACCAAATTGGCAAAATTGCATGGTTTCACACACTTTGGTATCAAGGGCATTTGTATCCCACTGTTTTTGGACAAAAACATTCTCTTTGGCCAATTTTCATGCTGAGTGCAGAGTACCCTTGAGTCAAACTTAAAGACTGGTTGACTCAGAACAAAAATTTGAAATGCCATCTCCAAAAAAAAAAAAAAATAGCCCGAGAAATTAAAAACAAATTTTGATGCAGAACTCACAAGATTTGAGAAACAAATGAATTAAATAAATGAAAACTCCTTGTTGAAATCTGAATTGAAATAGATATCAGAATTGGGTGAATCTATTGAACGGAACTTCTCTAGATTGAAATTTTGTTTTTTCACTTGCAAAACTCGAACCTAAAATTTTAATAGGAACGGCAAATTTGCATTTCACATGAACTCTAATGTGTTCGTGAAAAACTGCAACTTTAACACACCTTTTTTCATATTAATTTTTGGGTAAAAACCAATTTGGGATGGCATCATCATTTTACGAAGTGAGAGAATGAAAAACCATTTAATCTTTTAGGTAATATATAATCTAGGTTAAATTATCATTTCACTAATGATCAAAAGATTAATGATAAAAAAAAATTATGTAAGAAATCCCTTAAAAAAATTATGTAAGAAATATTACTTTATTTTTAAATGAAACAACTAGATTAAAAAAGAATTATATGAGATGGTGATAATAATATTAATGGTGATAATAATATTGACGATGATAATGATGGCTATAAACATATCGATAATAACCATATCCGTAGTAATAATGACTATAGTAATAATAAATGAAAATAAATATAAATGTTTTATATTATTTTACTTAAAATAAAAAAATTGGCTTAGGACTTATTAAGTAATAAAAATTTGAGTTTTTATTTTTTCAATCTTCTTATAAATATTTTATTAACTACATACAACCATCATGCAAAAAACATCAAAAGAAACAAGAAAAAATATATGGTTGGCTCAAATTTCATGTGGTTCATGAGTGAGTCATTATATTATCATTATTGAGAGTGATGAACGATGTAATTATCCTAATTATTTGAATAATATAATAATTAAAAAATTATATTAAAGGTTGGAATCTCATTTTATCCTTTAGTAGGAACACCACTAATCTCCTCTCTGCACATTTTCCTTTGACCTTTTGTCACACCTTTGTTGATAGTGCAAGTAGTGTGGTTGAGGAAGTGGATAACTATGTTGGTGTTGTGTATCAAGAGTTACCACATACACGTGACTCCATATTGGTAAGATATTGTCCACTTTAAGTTTAAGTTCTCATGATTTTGGTTTAGGTCATCACTTAGACACTCTCGTACTAATGAAGATTATGTGTGTTTTATAAATCCTTGTCTCTCTTCATGGTCCAACGATGTGGGACTTTATTTATATCACAGCAGTCCTTTCCTTAAACAAATGATTATTGTTTAACCTCTCCTTTAATGAAAATATTTTTTTCCACCATGACTATTCAATGGTAGCCCGTAGATCTTAGCCACATCTGCTAGCTCTAGATACTTGCATTACCATTAGCTCACACACTAACGAGACACATTGCTTGACCACTATTAAGAACACTTTCAACATAAGAGATCTCGCACTTGGATTCACTAACTTCCCTTGTCAAATACTTATCCGAGTTGGTAAAGATTATTGGCTCTAAAATCCCTTGTTGTGCATTAAAAGTTACCACACACTTGTGTTTCCACATTAGTAATATATTTTCCACTTTGAGTCTATATCTTTATGATTTTTTCTTTTGGTCATCACCCAAAAGACTTCATATCAATGGAGATTATGTGTGCTTTATAAATCCTTATTTCTTTTCATGATTTAACGATGTAAGACTTTGTTTGTATCTCAATAATTGATAGTCAGGTCAAGGACGAGGATGAGAACGACAATGTTGGTAACGAGGTCAAGGATGATGGTGTCAGTGAAAAGGTTGAGGAAGCGAATGACAATGAAGAAAATGGTGAGGCCATTATAACGAAAAAAAATTAGATTACAAAAGAGTTTTTTTTTTTTAGTAATTTCAAATAATTAAATAAAAAATAATTTTCTAGCGTCCACCAAAAAGTAAATCAAGTTAAGTTGTCTTACCCATGGTAGGTCAAGTAGGACTAGATCAAGTGGTCCACTTTAACAACTTTTCATGAATGAATCAAAATAATTTTTCACCCAACATGAAAAATCTTATGAAAAAGAAATACATTTTGATAATTATTTTTAATTTTAAAAATATAATTTTTGAGATTTGTGCTTTATTTTTATTAGAACCGAAAGAAAGAAAAACTGAAATTTTTTTGGTTGATTAAAAAAGATTAAATAAAATGGAAATTAATTTTGAAAAAGAAAAGAAAAGTACAATTTGTCAATTTGACTTCCATCTCCAAAGGTTTAAATATAGTTCTTAAACTTTCTTTAAATTTTACTTTTAGTCCCTAAATAAAATTGTTGTAGTCTTTAATTTTTTTTTTCCATTTATAATTTTTGTAAATTAAGTTTAAGGATAAGATATCATTAATGAGATCTATTATTGTATTATATCATTTTTAGCATTTTGTATGGTTAACTAAAAAATTAAAAGAAATATAAAAGTTAAATTAAGATATATTTTATGACATATATTTTAAAATAAATAAAATTATTAAAATACCACCCTGACATACATTGAGTCTAATTTTTAAAACGTAAACCTAAAAAAAAAAAAACTCTTGGATCAAGCCCGGGAGACAAGTTGGGTTTTGTTCGTTTCTAGTTAGAAATAAAGGTATGATCATGTTAATCTTTAAACAATATGATTGACATATGTGATTATTACAAACTAATATATTTATTTTTAATGACCGATTTGTTCCCCGTTAATTTTTTACAAAAATTTATTTAAGTGTTTACAAGAAGAAAAAGAAACTTTTAAACAGAGTGAGTTCTGTTTTTTTTTTTTTTGGTAGTGTACACTAAAGAAACAAAAAGAAAGGAAAAAACAAAGAAAGATTACATGGAACAAAACTAGTGGCTATAGCATCGGCATGAAAAGCTATGCTGATACTTCACGTTGCAATAGTTTCTGAATGGACAAACACATGTTAGAATAGTGGATTAAGCCTAACTCAACCCTACAAAACCGGCTTGTAAGGTGAGAGTTGCTTTTCACTTATATACTATTCAATTGCCTAATCTCTAGTCGATGTGGGACTTGGGTTTTTTCCCAATACACCCCCTCACGTCCAGCACTATTGGGCTTGGTACGTGGATAAATGGTGGGTGGCCCTTTTTAATGATCTAGGATAGGCGGGACTTGGGTTTTTTCCCAATACACCCCCTCATGCCTATGAGGCATGCATCAATGGTGGGTGGCCCATTTAAAGTGGATCTAAATGGCTTTGATACCATGTTAGAATAGTGGATT